CATATACCAAATATCATTTAACTTTTATAGATTACAGTAGTGCAATAGAAGTTCGTTAATTTGGACCCAGTAATCTGCCATCTTGTAAAAACATGGCCAATAATTCAGAATTGTCAAATAGTTTGGCATGCTAGTGTTCCACAAATAGTTCACTAAAGATCCTGGATGGAAGTTGAGGTTAAGGTGGGGTGCAGCCATGCACGTTGACATATATCAGGAGGTTAATTATGGAATTTGAGAGTCATATAATCAAGAAAAATGATTTATTTTGTTACAGCACCTTGTTTGTATAAGGTGCTTTCCTAAGGCTAATATATGCTTATGTTGCAATCATGAAACAAATTCTTGCAAACACTTTTCAAGCTTGGGCTTGAAAGCATCATCTAATGTTTATAGGTTTTAACAAGCTGTCTCAAGAATATCCAGGACTTTGAACTCCTATACTGTGTAATTCAATAGTAATGTTCAGAATGAACATGGCTTCATTAGAATTAACATGTTTTATGTTCAGTAATGTGACTGACATAAGACAAGTTCAGTAAATGAACTAAGTGCATCAATGCTTGTATGGATGATCATTTAGTAAAAAACTGATTTTGGTGCACATCATTAATAAAAATCCAGTTGCTTTCAGTGACAACACTAAACTAATTGTGTTTGACTAAATTTTCTGTCAGTGCAACTATATTGCTGCTCCCACATGTTATCAATTTCATTATAAAAAAGTATGAATTTACTTTTGGATGAAGAATTATCCCAGATAATTAAAAACAATTTGAATGTTATATAAATAATGCTGTATGATATTCTTTTCAGTCACGATAGTGAGATCTCTTGTGTTGCTTTTTTGACATTTTGAAAACACTCTCCAATCATTCAGTAATTCTTTTCTAATTATATCATTGAAAGTACTGCTACTGATAACCAAGTGTGAGATTTCAGGCTGTAGTTTGTTAAATTAAAATATTAATTTGATAAATTTGTCAAATAAAAGCACAAAACTGGGAAAAATTAACGATGAAGTAACCAAATTTGCTCCGTGATAACACTTCCTTTCTAAATGACTCCTCTTCCTGGAATAATGATTCATCCAGGGAAATAGAGAGTAAAATATGGGATTGGATGACAAAAGAGTTTCAATTTAATACTGTCTTCTTGGTTAACATCTTGACTCGAGAGCATGAAAAAGTACAAAAGGACTAAGAAAACATCAACAAAACAAAGTCATGTGGTTCTACCATTGAGGAGACTCACCAACTCCCACTTCAACTGTCTTGTTGCACCGACCTCATCTAATTTGGCAAACCTAGTCCTAGACCAGTCCAGTCTCCTAAGCCATGGCCAACACAGACAGTATTGTGTTAAGAACTGTTGTGTCAACAAATCGAGGATATTACGTGATATTGCATCTGACATACCTACAGTGTATCTAAGATATTTATTTGATTCACAAAGTTATGTTAGAATTCTTTTTCTCACAGTTAAACAGAAATAGATCAGTCAGGAAAGACCAAAGCCAGGTGTATTTTTTTTTAATCAATTTTTCAAAAATATTTCCTCAAAAAACTGATGAAAACTTCATGGGTTAATTCTACAGAAATAACCACCATTTTTTTGCCTGGACCACATTTAATCAGAGACAATAGCTTATCATCGTATTCTTTATTTTCTTACTTAAGTAAGAAAAGCTAATGAAGATAAGCTATTGTCTCTGATTAAATACGGTCCAGGCAAAAAAACGGTGGTTATTTTTGTAGAAATAACCCATGAAGTTTTCATCAGTTTTTTGAGGAAATATTTTTGAAAAATTGATTAAAAAGGAATATAAAGAAAACTGCACCATGGATAGATATACATATATATATACATATCTATTACTTATAGCAGGTGTATTTTTATTATCTTGTTGTTAGTTATAATTCTATATAATCCAGTAAATAAATCGGGTTATTATTTTTGTTGATTCCATAGTTGAGTGTCTCACTTCCAGAGCACCCTGCCTCTCTTAGTTTTCCACCTTCATTCCTTACTCTATAAAGTCCTACAAACACAGCTGCTCAGTGGTTTGAAGTTCCTGTGAGTTGAAAAGTCACTGGTAGTGAGTGTCAGACCTGACCCAAGGAGACATTTGTATTCTGTCATACGAGTTTACTGAATTTGTCTATATTTTCTTTCTCACAGCCAATGCAAGAACAGTATCTCTAAAAACAAGTTTTTAATACAGAGCATATATAGCTTTTATGACTCATACATATGCATGTCTGGAAAATATATTACAATATATGCACATGAATTATTGTGAATATTTAGTCTGTTCAATAATGTGTTTGTTAACATTTTTTGCAGGTTTTTCAATCAGTCTTAACATAATGCAGTCATGCACTGTATCATCTTCAATTGTCATATTGCTGCAAAACTTGGCATGCAGATAAGTCTCAAGAAGATATGGAAATAATTAGAGTTATAGTGCAATGGCTCATTCATAATGCCAGCAGAGAACATTGAAGTGCAACCTCCTTGGCCTATAAAAAAGTGCATAAAGGCATACTGTCTGTAGTTTACCTGTTGCAGAGAAATGCTGTGTTGCTAGAGATGCTTTACATTGCAATTGAAGACCATATGAACAACTGAGTTTGAGAGGGGAAGGATCATTGGATTGAGAGAAACTAGATAGTCATCTCAGCCATTCTGACAACACTGTGAGGTGGTGTTGGGACAGTAGATGAGAGAGCTTGCACAATGGCACCCAGGCTCATGATGCCATTGGCCGACCACTAACTGAGAGGACCACCTGATTCTCCAATAAGCATGCACACAACCTACTATGTCTTTGTCTGTCATTTGATGTCATCATTACAGGTTCCTGTGTTTGTTCATATCATTTCGAGGTGTCTGGGTGAGAAACATTCAGTATTGCAATGACCATTATGTGTGCTGCCTTTGACAGCCACCCACCATTGCCTCTGTTTGAGAAGTGTAGCTCCCAATTGGATTGAACCACAATTGAATGGAACCAGATTGTCTACAGCAGGGGTGGCCAAAATGTGGCGCATGCGCCAAACATGCATTGGACGATTACAAGTGGCGCTTCAGTCTGTTCCGAGCAACATTGCCAGATTTGGCTGCATTGCGTATGCAATTCGGTGCAATCGAACTGTTGACCTTTTTGTTTTTCTTTGCTTGTACATTACACGATGCATTCGTGTTCATGTACACCACTGATGTCATATAGAACTATTTTATACGGGTAGCTACACTACAACCGCATTTATCATTGCTTGTTCTGTGGCAAATCTGAATTTTCATCTTATAAATTGAAATACCTAGTTAAGGGGTGGCCGAAATTTTTCTCCGCATCGGGCTGCTAACACTCATGGTACGCCACTGCGCATCTGAACTCGTCTATCAAAAAATTGGCGCATGGTATGCAAAAGGTTGGCCACTCCTGGTCTACAGCAACAAATCCAGATACTGATGATGACTGTGTGCGTGCTTATCAATCCTGCCTATGTTTTGGAGCGGCATACCACCCCACATCTGGAACAGGGATGTCCAACCTGTGGCCCACTTTATATTTTTATGTGGCCCACTGCACCCTCAGTTTTTTAGATACATTTTCGTTTATTTTGGTAAAATAAACGAAATCATAAAAATTATTCTTGTTTCACTTTGATGACGTAATGGGTGACATATTTGTAACTGTCCAATCAAAAATGTTGCTGGTGTGGTCTGTCATTTTGATTATTTCAGTTTCAAAGATTTTTGTAATGAAGTGATGTTCTTAGTGATAAAGAATGGGTATCTTTTATCAGGTGGATGAAAAATAATCCCTCTTTTCAAGAGTCACCTATTTTTAGTGACTTGAGGCTAGGCATAAAGTGGAAAGAATAAATTAGACCCTACCACTTTGTCATTTTTACTAATTATAGATATATAATACATTGGTCTATCTATATATTTTTTTTGTAATGTAATAATTATATTCATAATTATTTCATCAATTTTAAATTTATATTTTTAATAACCCAGCATTTGATCATGGCATCTAATACTAAGAAAAAAAAGATAACAGAAGAAAAGAGAAAATTCATTATCTTTTGGCCAGAAAAATATTTCATAATTGAAACATGTAATAATATGGCTTGCCTTATTTGTCGCATGAAATTGTGCATTTTCAGAGTTTATTAAAAAGAAAAGAAGAATTTCCTGTGAACTTTGAAAAATGTAGTAAATTATGTGAAGTTTTGTTAAAGGATTTAACAATGAGATTTTCTGACTTCAGAAAATAAAAACTGAATTAAAATTGTTTAGTGATCCATTTTCATTTAATTATGGGGAAGCAGCAGCTTAATACCAGCTAGAACTCATCGATTTTCAAAGCAGGAAATCTTTGAAAGCTTATCATAGAGAGCATTCTGTTCTTGAATTTTATAAAGAAGTTCGTTCTTTCAATGAATTTGATAAAATTGTCAATTTATCTAGAAAACTTATGCATGTGGAGTAGTACATAGTGTTGTGAACAATTTTTTTTTGTGCATGAAGAACATCAATTTTTATGGCAGTGAGAGTATAAATATTGTTTAATTAAAAACTGAAATAAGCTTTCATTCTTTCTAATGTTAATATATAAAAATATAAATATACATGAAAGTAGTATATACAAATTGATATTTTTTGCTTCAAAAAATTATTACATGTCTACCTATTTTTACTAAATTTACCAGTAAAATATATCAAATCACTGGTATATTTGCCAATGCATTTTTAACTGATTACTGATAAACCAATTTACCAATAAATACAGTATAATCCTTATCTGGCATCATTCTAGTCTTGTAGGTGCCAAATTAATGAGTTTACTTAATAAGATGTTTATTATTTGATAACTAAATTTTTTAAAATATTGCACAATTCATGTTGTTATTATATAACTTTCAATTTTATAATGTATTCTATTTTAAAAGATACTTATAATTTTGTTTTCTTTTTGCTTTTTTTAGGAAATAGGCAAAAATATTTATACAGTTGAAGAACTGGTCCATGAAATTAAGGATAAAGCAACAAAGCAACGCTTACAATGTTTACCATATCAATTTAAATTTAGAAAACCATCTTCAGATATTATTAAACTTGGTAAATTAATTTAAATTTTATTATATGACTTTTGAAATATAATTTTTCAAATTAAATTTCAGTATTTCTTACTATTATTATATAAATTTCTTATATATTTTCTATCTAAAAATTATATCATAGAATTTGTTAAATACAATTTACAATTCAATTTTACTAATGTAAGAAACATACATTATTATCTGCAATTAAAAAACTTGGCAGATAATTATTATTAGCATATTAAATTTGCTTATGTGTATTATATATAGTAGAGCGTCGATTTTCCGAATCAATTGGGGACTGGGGTTGTTCGTATAACTGATATTTCGGTTAACCGATTTATGTACGGAAAAATAGTTTAACGTATCCGATGTTAAAATTTTTATATGTTGCGTGTCGCTTTGCGTTGAATTTTCGTCAATGTTAAGCCTAACAAAGACTATTGTATCGTTAAAAATTATTTTTTTATTTTGTACAAACAAAATAAATATATTGAAAAATATAAAAACAATAAAAAATTATACTTCAGATGTTAATTTAGTATCAAAAACGTAAAATATTTGAGTAGCCCAAGACATAGCCAAAGATTGAAGTGCCACAGCACTGGCGAAAATTTAAATTTGCCAACTGGAATTCTTTCGGATGATTGACTTTCGGAAAATCGACGCTCTACTGTACTTTTTATTTGTATTTCCTATATATATCATTTTAATATATTGAATTATATTCATAGTATTTGTAGTTGTTTAACTATTTATTTCAATTAGTCTTTTTGTATTGTCTATAAATATATATTAAACTGCTTTATTCTGGTAACCAAAATCATAGTTTAATATATATTGTGCTAAATTTTATATAACATCTAAAACGTGGGTGGTGTCTGATTTTGATATTATTGACCTTGAAATTTTTAAAAATTCCTATGCACTAGATATTTAGAGATAAAATTGATTCCAAAAGAAAGGGTATTTGTTGAAAAATTTTTTTCAGTTATATAAATAACTAGTTAGATGAAATAGTACAATAAATTCTCGATTATGTAATTATAAATTTGAAATAGAGAAAAAATTTAAGTTATTAAGAAACATTTTATTTTATATTTTTTAGCAAAATATTTACATTATACAAGGTCATGCTACATAGTGACAAGATTGCTACTTGGCAATATTTTTATTAAAGTGATGATAAAAATATAATATTGATGATAGTACACTTTATGAGAAACGACAGAATGTCGAGCTCCTGTGATATGGGAGCCCCGTGCACCACATACCTAGCAATGTCATGTGGCAAATTCAGACAGGAAAGCAGGAAGTGATGTTGGGAACCAGAGGTAGTTTTCATACAGTGTTTCCAGATTGGGAATTTTTTATCAGCTGAAAGAAAATTTGGGGAATTTTTTGGGGTGACATTTTTTTCACTTTGATCTTTTTACAGTAGATTAAAGCATAAAAATGTTGACATGGCAGAACTTGTAAAATACTGTTTAAGCATTGTGAACAAATATATTATTTGGAATTATTCATTAAAAAATTAATCCTATTATTAAATTATAAATTAAAAAATGATTCCTATTTCTAAGTAACAGGTTAAAATGTTACTCTTGCTTTCTAGACTCTGATCTGATTTATTAATGCAAGTGCTGGTAGCACTTACATTAATAAATCAGCTTGTAAAATTGGTGGCAATAAATAATTTGAAGTGGCGAAATAGTTGTCAATTTTTTTTTTAATTTACAGAGTGACCCCTGATTATATGAGAGGAAAACATAAATTTATTAATAAGATAAAAAACAAGCTGCTATGTTTTGAATCAAATTATTGAAGAAGAATTTTAAAAAATAGTCCAGCAATGAGTTGCTTAACTTTCCTGGCAACATTTGGTGGCACCATCTGTTATCATATTTTATTTCAAAACTTTTTACATTTTTAACTATTATAAAATGCCAAATAGCTTAATTCTGAAGGTAGGGATGGGTTTTATAAAAATATTGTAAATGTTAATAATAAGTAAAATCGCCAGTAAGTCTGATCTTAAGGATATACATACGACGCTCTTTATCTCCACTCTCCAACCTTTAATCACCAAAATTTAATAGCATCAATGTAATAAAGAATCCTCCCTGCAGAATTTCAGAAATTTTTGACAAAAAGCACAGGAGTTAAACTTGAAAGAAGGTGAACAAAATCGTGCCTCTCCACACACACAAACACACTAACATCCATACATACAGAAAAATCCCAAATTTTTTTATTTTTTTATTTCTCAGTATTTCAAGGTGTTCAAGGTATTTCAAGGAGTCCAAAAATGTAAAAATCTTGGAGATCTTTTTTGATTGATTGCCATACTTTTCCTCTGTTATATGTAACAGCCAGGAAAGTAACTAGCATTGTTATGTTGATATTATATTCTTCATGGTGGTAATTATCTGATTTTGTTGCAACTATTCCATAATGCTTGCTTGCCAAAAATTACATATTGCAACATTTGCATAACATAAACTTTGAAGATGCAATTTCAACAGTTTAAAAAGCAATTGGCCTCGTTATCATACTAGTATTTTTCAAATGGTTGATGAGATAAGGCAATGTAACATGAAGGTGCTGTATCAAGAAGAGTGCTTCACAAAAGGACTTTCTATGGGGAAACAGTCTACTTAAGTATTAAATATGTGAAGAAAGCAAGAGAACTCCGTGTGGTCAGCCCTTTGATCATGTGCAAATCCAGGACCAACTAGTGATGTTTTGTGGTTTTTCCACTCCCACTGATGATGGTTTCTTTTCTCAGTATTATGTTTTTGATACTTTAATGTTATAATATGTGGTTTCAAGTATGAATAGTATGGTATAGTTTTAGAAAAATTCAAAATATTGCATTGCAAATGATAAATATACAGCATCATTAGTTAATTTGTTAATTCATTTTTAAAAATTCCAGCAACAAGTTGTCCAACTTATATCTTTCCCAGCAAAAAATATTTGTTTAAGAAACATAGTAGCAAAGTCTAAAAAAGTCTATCTGTTATGAGATTTTATTAAAAAAATAACTTTTGTATTACTAATAATAAAAAGTCAAAAGGCTTAATTTTGATGGTAGAAATAAGTTTTTATTTGGTAAATAAAAAATATGTATGAGTAAAAAACATAACTTGGAAGCTTTTTGAGATATGGCCCCACCCTCTTAATACCTCAGAAACTAATGGTGCAATTTTTCCCAATACAAATCTCCCTGAAAAATTTCATAAGTTTTTGACAAAAGAGACAGGCATTATTAAGCTTTCCAAAGTGGATAAAAAATCATGCTCTCTCACACACATTAATATCCATATGTTCAGAAAAACTCTTTTTGCATTTCTCAATGTTTCAAGGTCTCCTGAGTCCAAAAATATAAAAATCTTGTGGGTCATGTTTTGTTCTTTGATCAGTTATCATACTTTCCCCTCTGTTATATAACAGCTGGAAAAATAAAATGAAGAGAAAATCTTCACTAATAAATGATAAAAGAATTGTGTAAAGAATCAGTTTGATTTTTTTATTATTATTTTTTTTTTTATGAATTTCTTTAACATGTAATCTGAAAATGCTTCATTAAATGTGCCAAAAATGTTTTTGAACATAAATATTTCTTTGATAAAGTGTTATATCTATTAAATTTTTTAAAATGTAAAGATCAATTTTCATTGCAAGGACATAAATGCTATAAATAAATAACAGATATAGCTTGCTAATTTTATGTACTTTTTAACCTTGTGTGATTACTCCAGTAAGGTTATTTATATTTGTATTATTTTTTTGTAATTATATGTAGGTGTTTAGGAATTCCTATTGTGTGACATGTGTTTAGTAGTTCTAAAAGGCACTTTTTTTCTTTCATTTTCTGTAGCTGACCCTAATTAAGAAAAATTACTTTTATTACTAATTGTAATATTTTTATATAATAATTACTCATCAGAAAACTACAATATCAATATAAGTATGTAAAACAGGCATGAAATATTTTAACATAATTTTATTTTAAAGTGTTGTTATGTAGTTAGAAAATTTTATTAAAATCTGAAATTTAGCTAAAAAATAAGAAACAAAACACCTTTTTTGCCGAGAAATAAATATAATTTGAAAAAACAAACGTTTTCAGCCTAGTTAATAGGCCATCTTCAGGTCGAAAAAATGGAATGTAAATGTTCCATAAATAGAACATAAAAATTATTTAAATCAAAAATTTTACAAGAGAAAAAATAATGGAAGAATAAATAAATAAATTANCGAAATTTTTCTCCGCATCGGGCTGCTAACACTCATGGTACGCCACTGCGCATCTGAACTCGTCTATCAAAAAATTGGCGCATGGTATGCAAAAGGTTGGCCACTCCTGGTCTACAGCAACAAATCCAGATACTGATGATGACTGTGTGCGTGCTTATCAATCCTGCCTATGTTTTGGAGCGGCATACCACCCCACATCTGGAACAGGGATGTCCAACCTGTGGCCCACTTTATATTTTTATGTGGCCCACTGCACCCTCAGTTTTTTAGATACATTTTCGTTTATTTTGGTAAAATAAACGAAATCATAAAAATTATTCTTGTTTCACTTTGATGACGTAATGGGTGACATATTTGTAACTGTCCAATCAAAAATGTTGCTGGTGTGGTCTGTCATTTTGATTATTTCAGTTTCAAAGATTTTTGTAATGAAGTGATGTTCTTAGTGATAAAGAATGGGTATCTTTTATCAGGTGGATGAAAAATAATCCCTCTTTTCAAGAGTCACCTATTTTTAGTGACTTGAGGCTAGGCATAAAGTGGAAAGAATAAATTAGACCCTACCACTTTGTCATTTTTACTAATTATAGATATATAATACATTGGTCTATCTATATATTTTTTTTGTAATGTAATAATTATATTCATAATTATTTCATCAATTTTAAATTTATATTTTTAATAACCCAGCATTTGATCATGGCATCTAATACTAAGAAAAAAAAGATAACAGAAGAAAAGAGAAAATTCATTATC